GTGTTCCGGCCGGTTGTTTGTGACCAACACTACGCACAGTCGACGCCGGGAGCGGACACTCTCTGTCGGACACAACTGGTCGAACATTGCCTGAAGAATGGGAGAGAAAGTAAGTTAGAAATGTGGCCAAAATCACAAACATTTTGAGCCAAAAAAATACGGCAATTTAACCGCTCGATTACCTGAGAGGCCAGTCGTGGCAAAAGCAAAAACTTATTGGACTCGAGAACGTCGCGCATGAGTTGAGGCTTGAGTTCAAACACCGATAACGTGGCTGTGGTTCGGGTGATGTCTTCGTTGAATATGAGCATTGAGTTCATCTTCGGGTCCACTCGATAACGGGTGAGTATCTGTCGGGAGGCCTCGTTGCCGGTCACGTGTGCGAAGGCTATGCGCTCCCGGAACTCGTAGGCAATCAATTGGTACCGAAGTCTAATATTTGACTCTTCGGTGACAAACAGTGTCCGCACTCTGTTGTCGTGCCATCCATTCAGGAACTGCTCGTAATTACTGTCAGTCACCTCTTGGACCAGATCTTTGGGCAGTGATCTGCGAATGAATTCAACGATATTCGGTAAACTGATTTGCGGCTCCCGATAGGCGCGCGGCTCGCCCTCCACCAGAGACATGATGTACGGCAGTGTCTGTACGGACAGCTTTCGGGCCAATTTGCTCTCGTGTTGCGAATGAATGGTCGCAAACCCGACGCCCAGCGGTTCCAAATCGGTGACAATCTTCTGCCAATAGGTCTCCATTTGTAGGCACGCGAAGCATAGGTCGCCGTAGAATAGTATTAAATACGGCCGCGAATGCGAGGCCGGGATAACGTTGTTCTCGTAAGCCCTGAACGTGAATAAATTAATTTGTTATTTAAAAGCATTACCAATTGATCCATAATTATGGCATTAATGGTGAACACATTGATGACTGTGTGAGTGACAGACGGCTGTCAGTGGTTTAGCAAATACCTGGCAGTTATGGTCATCTTGTGGTAAGTGTTGGGAGCGTTAAAATTGAAGTGATACTGTTGTCCACCGGAACCGCTGGTAAAGGTATAGGTGTCGAAGGGGTCAAAATCAAAGCGCTTGAAACTGCTATAATCGGGTCGCGACCTGAAGTTTGGCGTGTCTTCGGTGACACCGCTCTTGTCGTATTTTTTTGGCTCAAAATGTTTGTGATTTTGGCCACATTTCTA